GGACTAAAGATCTTCCTCTTATAAACCGGGATTAAAAATCATTTTTAGTCCTGGTTTTTAATGGAACCAAGACTATTGTTGATTTGGGTCAACCGACTAAAGATGGTTTCTCTACCAGTGGGAGGAGGAGAGGGGAATCAACGATGGGTGGTAGGGAGAGAGGGGCGTTATCGTCGTTGCTCGAGCCATCCTGCCGCAGCCACCTCGTCGCCATCGTCGGCGATTGGACCACCTCGCGCAGCCACCGCTGCTCAGCTCTGGCGGCTCTTCTGGCCTCAGCTTCCTCCGATGGGGACCGAGAGAAGAGAGAGAGTTGTTGGGGAAAGACCAAGAAGATAGAGATGAAAAGTAAAAAAAATGGTATAGGTAGGACCTACTACAAGCAACTTGCACTGTAAAACATGTAGCTCAAAACGTTTTTGGTCAACGTGGCATCTGAGGAACACCCACTGTGAATGGCCTTAATGGCTCTGTTTTTGTTCTTTGATTTGTAGTGAAAATGAAGACTTATAATAGTGAAGTTTGTTTTGTAGCGCAATAATTTGATTATCTCGCACCTGCGGCTGCATTGTGTTTCGTAAAATTATTTAATACTTTTAAAATATTTTAATATTATTGTTTGCAACACAGATCTAAAAATAAAAGTGGTCCACCAAACACCGAAATATCCAAAAGTCGTTGCACCAAATGAGATTATCATAATTCACCGTAATGGAGCATAATGATAATGAGTATAAACACGATTTACTGTCAAAACTTCGGCTTCTTGGGAATTAACATGATGCAATATAGGAGTATAAACTCTTATGCTTATACTTATCGGCCAAAATTGAATTTTCAACTTTAAATTTGGAGCTGATTGAGGTTTTTTTATCGAAGTTTATTTTTTAGTCTTTGCTTTTAGATCACTAAGAACACTTATATAAAAGTTTTATTCACAAACAATATTTCGTTTATAAATATGCCATTTAGCTTATTCTGCAAATAAGCGAACCAATGGGTCAGATAGAGGTGTACTAAAAATATCTAGATAAAAAAACCAGGAATTTCAAATCCAAAATCCCGTACTCTTTTTATGTTAGTTTGGTCTCATCCTCTTTGTTCCCAGAGGTACATGCAGGCATTATTAAGTAGGCAATGATGATTAACCTAGGTATAAAATGGGAGAGCACTAAAGCGAAAGCAGTTGGAATAATTTGTACGTAGACGGTGAAGGGACAGAGTAGTGAGTGTGTGAAAAAGGCAAAGGCAAAGGCAAACAAACAAAGCTAAGGCCGTTTCTCCCGGGAGGAAGCCGTAATCTACGGTTTCAATTTCCAATAATCCGACCAACATAATCCGAGCTGCATAAACCCTTGTGAGTTGTGTAAGCGCGCTGATCAATCTAACTTTGTCAATTTGTCGCATATATACTCACTTTGACCCATGCAGATCTCCAGTGTAATAAGGGTCTGTTTGGCACAGCTCCAGCTCCAGCTCTACTCCTCCTGGAGCTGGAGCTCAGCCAAACAATTTCAGCTCCGCCAAAACTGGGAGTAGAGTTGGATGGAGCTCTCTCACAAAATGAACTAGAGTTGTGGAGCTGGGTTTAGGCAACTCCACAACTCCACTCCAGACCCAACTCCTGGAGCTAAATTCTACTTCCTCCACTGTCTAGATCAGCTCGTTCTATATGAATATAGCTTTAATTATTTGAAATTTTTTTGGGAGGAAACAAATTAAAGTAAGGAGTAATAAACTGCTGTAAGGTAGCAACGGCGGCAGCAGTGTAGTTCGCGAAAATAAAATTTTTGGATGTCACCTCAGATGTTTAACCGGATGTTGGAAAGTGTTTCTGGACACGAATGAAAAAACCAATTTCATAACTCGCTTGGAAACCGCGAGATGAATCTTTTGAGCCTAATTAAGCCGTCACTAGCACATGCGGATTACTGTAGCACTTATGGCTAATCATGGACTAATTAGGCTCAAAAGATTCGTCTCGCGTTTTTCATGCAAACTGTGTAATTAGTTTTATTTTTATCTATATTTAGTACTATATGCATGTGTTCAAAAATTCGATGTAACGTTTTTGGAAAAAAAATTAGGAACTAAACCAGGCCTCATCCGATGACCCGGGACGGCGTTCAGCCCTTGATCGGCTTAGATGGACATCTCCTTGGTGGTAGTGTCCTTAGATGTGGACAAACGACTGGTTTACGGTTCAGTTAATTAATCTTCGATATTATTGGTTACACCTAAACTTAGCACCTAGTATTAAATTAAAAAAAATTACCAAAGTTTGAAAGTCTACCGGTTTTCCTCTGAGAGGGCCGGTCGGACCGCCGTATGTCGGCTGGTCAGACCGGTAGTTTATGGCCGGTCTGACCGGCAGAGTCCGAGCCCGAGTCTATTTCGTCAGGTCTCGAAGTTTCCTTGCTTGGGAAGGCATATTTCGGGTTTTATTTGGATTCTATCCCGACAGAAAAAGTTGCCAACAATTATCTTTCGTTTTGGTTCAATATCGGTTATCGGCATCGATGTACACCAAATTCGATAGGCACAATGAACATTCGCTGATTTTGGAGGTTTTGCTTTCTGGTTTGACAAAGGCAATAAATACATACAGCTTGCAAGTTGCAATGCAAAAACAACGGTTATGTAGATTTTCGTCAAGATGTTTAGTAATATGTGTTAAGTGTTATCTTTGCGTTTAAATTGGTATTAAAGTAACTTTCTTGTTTTTAGTCAAGCTGTAACTTTGTAATTCGTAGTCGTTCATCAAGTGATCTATAGTAGTTTTGTAAAAGCCTGAATGATTCAATTATTTTGAAGAAATAGTGCCTGGTGGATTTGGATGATAAGATGAATGGGATAAACAAGGAGAGAGAGGATGAGCTGCTACTTGTTTAAGAGACTTGGACATGAGCTTAAGAGGAAGAGTAGATTAGACAAACAAATAAACTATTATAACTAGTTATAACTATGTTGCTCATTTTTCCAGTTCTAAAAATGACACATACAAAGGGATTGGAACGTAGGGATATAAACCATAGGAATATAAAACGTAGGAATTACTGTAAAATATATTGGAATGCGAGCGTTAAACGGACGAATGAAAAAACATGAAAAATCTAGATTTTTAAAGTGGTGTCTGGAATAGAGGAATTCTAGAATATGTATTAATTACCTAGCACTAATGATCTCTGTTTTACCTGTGATGACTGTCCAGTCCAATTAAACGTTATCATGAGATAATTGCTTCTGAAATTATGTTTTATGTCCTGTGTTTTGCTTCTGAAATGGAGGAAAGGAAACCTTTCATCTGTTTTGGTTTTGCTTCAATTCCTTCGAACCAAACGCAGCTACATACATTAGTTTTCCCTTCAAGGAACTAATAAATCCTTTGAAAGCAGCTGCTACGGCAGTTTTTCTTCCTTTTGGAGCTCTGCGGTGCCGGAGTGTCGGTCAGATCGATGAAGCCGTAGCCCGTAAAGACTGTACTTGGCAGACTGACAATGCTCCTTCAGTTCGCTGCTTTTTGTTTGCTGCTTTCGCTCAACCATCCACAGCTTCATATCCCGAGAGAGAAAAGCCACAAACATAGATCCACTTTCCCTTTTCTTTTCTTTTGTGGGGGGATCATTTGAGGGGAGCATGGATGTCTTTTTTTTCTCTCTTTTTCTTCCCAAAAGAAATGCATGTTTTTATTAAGTAAAGATACAAATAGAATACTCAAGAAATATAAATGTAATTATCATATTCTCTATATTCATTATGTAATAAAACTGAAGTCTAGAATAAATAAATAAATATCAAGTTGTGCTCAAACATGGAATCTCAATTTTTTTTCCTTTGATTTAACTATTATAGTGTTTTCTTGATTTAATAATTTTAAACTTCAGAAATAGCAAATAGTAATAATATTTTCCTAATTCAACCCCGTATCACTATTACAACTTTTCAGTCCAACCATAAAATATCAGGACTACTATTGTATTTGACACCTATTCTACCTATTCTAGTAGAATGTCTGTAAAACTTATGTTCGAAAGACACATAAAAAAAGATATGTTGTTTTGAACGTAGGAATCGAGAAAACACGCGATTCTCGCTAACTTACTATAAAAATATCTTTTTGGTTAATATATGTTTAAATGGTCATATGCATTAATTAGTCTTAAGACTTCTCAAAGAAAAAATATAAGGAGGTCGTAATGGATGTTCAAATAATCTATGGATTTTCTATAAAATCAATGGCTAACAAAAAATTCCTCCGATTTTCTGATGTCCTTTTCGCCATTCAGAAGGGGTGAACGATACCAAATCCTGTAAGAATTAAAATCTGCCAATTTTTCTTCAAAAATACCTAGCTCCTTCTGAATGCAGGAATTTTACTACAGTTTCACATAAATGAGTTCATTTCTATAAATAAATCCCTTCCAAAGAAGGCCTGAAAAGTATTAAGTCCAGTCAAATATATTTTACCTTGGCTGAACAGAGTTTGGTAAATATAAATGAAAGGAGGGAGCAGTAAGCCAGTCTATAAATCCTAGTGTTAAACTTCTTGTGAAATTACAAGATAACATACAACCAAAAATAGTATTAGCTAGCAGCCGATCTTTGAGTTGGGTGCCAATGTAAACAAGGAGCACTTTCTGCCGTCCCTGGCAACAAATTTTGAACTTTACAGAAAAATATGTAAGCTCGAATCCGTACACACAAAACAAGAACCCAGTTCTGGCAGCGATTTGTGTCTAAAACAGACAAAAGGAAGTCAAAATACAAAAGGCATGTCCCCACGAAGAACTGACTCAATCTATTATCTACCAGACTACCACGACCCAAATTCACGTGTCAACAACGATTGCAATTGTCAACAGTTTGCATTTCCGGTTAGCAAATATTTTGCGATGTTTGGAATTTCAATATACCTTCCCTATAAGCGCAATTTGAAGCTGGCATTGCCACCGTGATAAGTTGAAAAACCCAAAAAATTCAAGGCGATATAAAGAGCTATATACAACATCAATATAATTTCCCTTATATTAGCTTTGAAGATGCCAAGCCACCAAAAAACATGTCCAGGTAATAAGTAGAGTAGTATAGCTTTCACAATTTTGCTACTTGGAACAGATAAAAGTCACCTCAAGTGTTTATTATAAAAAATAAGATTAGTCAGCACAAAATTTTAGTTCTACTTGATGGAAGGCTGCTTACTGCCTAAAGAAGGCAGTTTAAATAAGAAAGCCAACAAATAAGTTTAGATTGCATACATCATTGCGAAGAACATTACAAGTAGCAGCCTGACCTGAGTTTCTCGAGACTCTTGTCTTTGAATCTACGACTATTTCTCTTCGTCTGACTGAGAAGGCCCATTGATGGCATCAGCAAAATACTCAACTGGAATCATGTCAACATACAAATCATCAAACTTTTATAGTAGTGAATATAGGTTTTTCAAAATTCACTGTACTGCATATATTTTAAATAGACAAGTACAAAATTACCTATGTCATCATCCGGGGATTCAAAAATATCAGAGTCTGAAGGCAGGAATGGGTTGCCTGAATAGTTTTCAAGGGCTGCCAGGTCTGAAAGTCAATGCCAACAGTAGTTAGATGTAAGCAGTAGCAAAAGCTGAAAATAAGTTCATTTAGCAAAGTGGTGAACGTTTTTGTTTCCCGTCTACAGGTCAATTCTAGATGAAATATGATTGTCCCAGAAAAATATTAAGTAGAAATATATTCTTTTAAGCACTGACAAAAAGTGAAAAGCACATTCAGGAGCTTGTTTTCAAATACTACACTGCTAGAATACTGTCTATAAGTCAGGTAATTCAGTATGTGGGGGAGAACAGAAGCAGCACTACTCAAACATTTTAGCCAAGCGAAGATCTTGATTTACTCCAACAAGGGGTAAACAAAATTGAGGAGAGAAATACAACACTATATATGGCATAAGTTCAACTAATTAACCAAGATATCAAACAAGCAATGAGAATCCCAGAGAATTAATTAAAAATGCAAGTGTTATACAAGATAATATCTCACAACATAGGACATTACCTCCCAGATTTGTCAAATCTGCTGATAAATCAGAAAGACTGAAATCCCAGATCTGCTGCCCCAAGGAAGAGCTATCACCACCATTTGGTCCTATTTGCAGAGGTCCTCCATTCCCTAAATCATCTCCAAAGGTGGCATTTACAGTAGATGCATCCACATCCATCCCTGATATATCAGGAGTGAAAGAAACATGATTGCTTGACATTGCAGATGATGGACTCACAGCCATCTCTGATGACATGGCTCCAGCATGTGCAGTTCCAGGAACTTCATTCTCTGTCATGCTTCAGAAACATAATGCAAAAATCAAACGAATTGTATAGGTGCTGACAGCAAGATTTTAACTGTAGCTACCTGATAGGTACATATGTATGCCATTGTCTTACAAGACACAAGAAAATAATTAGTATAAGAAAAATGTATTCAATTTTTACAGTCAAAATGAACATTTGCTGAAATAAAGAGGGCAATTTGGTAATTTTGAAACTACAACATATTGCATGACTTGGGAGAGCTAATGCATCAGAAATTTACTCTAAATTAAATAAGCATTCAAATTTACAACATGGCTATCAAGTGGTTTGATACTGCACCAAGAACAAATTATTATCATTATGTATGTTGTCCAAATCTGTATAAATGGTTTCATTCTTTGATTTCTTTCCAAACACCTGATTTGGAGGGTTTCCAGTAAACAACAAAAGAGAAAATATATGAGATAATCTCAATAGTAGCAATAGTCAGTGTGATGATAATTCTTTCTAAGACTAAAAAGGAAAGAGGGAGGGCTGTATTCAAGACAAAACAGAGTTTACATTGTCCATCTTATCATAATGCCGTTTATAGAGCGATAAAACAACAAGACAAGCATTAGAACAAAACATAAGAAAAATATTCTTTACCCATTTCCTGAGCTCATGCGAATCGGATTATAACCACCTGGTGCAGGAATTCCATTTACCACATGGCAACCAGGTGGACCACAAGATATCGAATTAACATGAGGCTGAACAGGAGCAGGTATTCCAGGTTGTTGGAGTACTGGATATCCCATAGGCAAATTGTTAACTGCAATGGTACCAAGTAAATTGTAAGGAAAACAAATGGGACTTCATAAAGCAGGCCAGCCAACAAAATTAGCCAGCTAAGCATCCAGACCAAACAGAGGTGATATCAGCAATGTTATGATGAAAACACACGAATTAACACGATTTAGCATGAACTATATAGAACTGAGACACAAGTAACCCACTTCAGTGTCATGTGGGCCTCAAGAACTCCCAGAGCAGCAGGCACTGATACACCTATCTTTCAAAAATGTGCTCATTTAGCATCTTTTCTCGAAGTTATCTAGAAGATACATATTTATCAATTAGCTAAGCTACAAATCTTTTAAGAAAACCATGCACATCGCAAATAGCCCGTGACATTTCAACACAGTTTATCAAACATCTGTGGCTAGGACATAAACAAATGAAAATTCCACAAAATGATGAAATGAGTCTTCCAAAGTGCAATAGTCATTCTCCATATCAAGACAGTTTTGTAAGAGCAGAAATGCAAGTGTTTAGGAATTCTTCCAATGTTATGGCATCGATATGAAAGAAATTTGTGGACAAAGGCGAAAGCAATGTATTCATACATATTTTACTTCATAAATCAGTGCTTTTGTATTTATTTTTCATTTTGTCAGTGCTAAGTGGTCCTTGAGTCCTGTAATAAATCAGTGCTTTTGTATTTATTTTTCATTTTGTCAGTGCTAAGTGGTCCTTGAGTCCTGTAATACACTGGCCTACAAGTACAGGGCCATGCAGCACATGGTGTTAGATAGGTCAGGGCCAACATACAACCCTAAACATTTTAACTATAACACCTATTGTTTAACCCTCTAACACGAAATGATCATGAAATACAAGGGGACGCTATGTGTAAGTGGGTCTGCTCCTCCAAAGATCTAGGCTAATACGGATTTTGGACGCTGATAGAGGCCTGTGTGGTCCATGTTGCGGCGCTGGTTGGATTAGTCTCACATGGAGAACTTAGATTGGTTGGAACTAGCATATAAACCCACGTTACAATTATACCTCAAGGTTAACTCTTCTATACAAAGCAAGGCCAGAAGTGTAAGTAGGGTGCTATCTGTACATGGCCGCTCCTTGGAAAAGTTGGGCTAATGCGGAATTTTGAAGTTGGGGTGTTACACCTTGTACAACTATTGGTATCTATAAGACCATGTAGGGGCATGAGAGTATGGGGGAGAAGGGAGAAACCAACTTAGAAATCCAAGTGCCAAACATATTCCAATCCCAAGTTAATCCTTTTACATGAATTGGTGGTTTGTTTGTGCTCCAGATTTTGCCATATTCTTATAACGGTCCCTAAAGTACTTGTCTAGTTGAACTCCAAAAATCCATGATTGTGATCAAGCGCGGATGACTACAGACTACCTTATGTGAATGCATGGAGACAAAAAAGCAAAGGGCTTACTTTCCAAATTAAGGGTTGAACGTAGCATAGTGCCTTGAACTAGTTAAGTTCATATCTGTTTGATAAAATCTATGAAGAAATTTCTTTATGACAGCTCTGGACTGAAACTATGTGTGTCGGATGTTCAAGATTAGCATTGACCTTACTATGATTTCCAAAATTTTACTATGAACCAAGCATTGCAGGATCAGAGTGAATTAATTTGTCTCTTTCTATACTCTGGTTCAGTGCCAAGCTGTACACAGCAGAGCCAGTAATATCAATGAAAGTACATTGCCTTAGATGCACATCGGTCTATCAGGTGATAAACTGATGACCTAACAGAGAATAGGGCATCAATTAAGGGCAGTGCTATGTATGTAGTAGTAGTAGGCACCACCAACTGGCAAATGGCACATAAAAGTAGCATGGAAACTAGTAAAACAACAACATTCTGAACTTACAATAATGAACAATGATACATGAGTGGGTAACACTGAAACAAACAAAAAAGGCTAAATGATGGCAAGAAACTCTGAAGCATGGAATCTTAAAAGGAATGTGTAACATTATAAGTACAATAAATTTTGTAAATTATGATTATAAGTGAAATCAGGTTTTCAATTAATTTTCACACAAGTCAAATATGCACATTATCACAGTTATGGCAGAATAGCACATATCCTACATGGATAATTTGATTTTTGTGAAATCACACTATAGAGTTAGATATTAATACTATAGAGATAGACATTACCAGGCATAGGACGAATACCGTTCTGTGTTGGGGTCAACGGAACCTGCTGTGGTACTGGGTACTTCATAAGATGGTATTGGTGCTCCAATAAGTGGTTAAACAAGTTAATCTGTTTTTTCAATTTCAACCTTATGTAGTAAGCCCGAAAGAACTCAGAATTTTCTTCTTCGAGTTTCTGCCATACTGAAAAAAAAACAAAAGGGAAGGCTTTAGAGCTATACTAGATACATCAAAATGCTGAACTGTCTCCAAGCATCATAGAAGTCACTCAAGTATTCAATAGATCTTTTTCATTAATAAACAATGTTAATATATGTACGACGTAAAAAAACAGCTTTCAAGTTTTCACTATAACTTCCATATTCAGGAACAGAATACTAAACGAAAGGAATTAGTGGATTATTTCAGTATCCATACATATTTATAGTACTACACGATCGATCTTGGCTATAATAAAATGCAAATAAGCAGAGTTGTAGATGCACAGCTGATGTTCACAAAACAGATTAAGGAGAATCTTATTACTCAACTCAATAAGGTGACCAAAATTGTCCTGACTGAAGAAGAAAGAACTACTCCTATATTATATCCAGGTGAGCTCTCTTCTTAAAATAGCATACCCTGAGCAGATTATAAGAAACAGGTGTTACGAACCAACTCAACATAAGAACCTTACCTAAAGTAGTGAAACCAGGTTCAATTCTTGCACGAGTAGAAAGAGTCCTAACAACTTCTCCTCTATTCATATATAGCTGTAGACAGCGTTCTATTAAATTCTGGACCTACAACAGCGCAAAATATTTGGTTAGTTAATAATGGAAGGTATTATACTTTGTATACAAAAATTATACACTTTTCAACATTGCCTCCATAATAGAAAAGACTAGCCATCTTACAAGTTCAATATCTTCACGAGAAACCCTTTTATTATCATTACTTGCAGCGGATAAGGAATCAGAATCCCCTAAAGGTGCATCAGTATTTGGCTGTTCACCCTTGATTTCATCATCACCTTGCACCAATGGATGCACCTTTGCCTTGCTCTCAACATCCTGTAGAAATATGCTCATTAGGATATAGTTCACTTGAAATGTGGTATAAATGTAAAGATGTAGTAACAAAAGGTGAAAGCAAGGGCAATCAATGGTCATGACATCAGCAAAAAAGTGAGAGGTGCCAATACAAAGAATATATAACCTTGAATGAACTAGTTTTTATGTCAGAGATCCACAAGAGTTTACCTCATGAGCACTTGGTATCTTGAACGGTTGCTCTTATATTTACCAAGTGACTCTACTGACTAATACAGAGTTAACAGGCCGGTTACTAGAGATGTTCTTTATTTTGCCTTTCATAGACATTCTTACACCTCTCCAGTCTTCATTGAAGTCCATCAACTACACCATCCAAGTTCTCCTTACTAGAATTGTGCAGCTGCTACATTTCACACTGGGGACCTCACAGTGCATGGCACTAGGCTACTGGAGGCTATCTTTGCCAAATCGATCATTGCGGTAGATTCATCATGTTCAAAACTGATTAGAAATCAGTTGCATGGCCAACACTGTTCTTGGAGCCAATAGTTGGCAAGCTCCGACTTGTTGTTCCTGGAGGCTATCTTTGCCAAATCGATCATTGCGGTAGATTCATCATGTTCAAAACTGATTAGAAATCAGTTGCATGGCCAACACTGTTCTTGGAGCCAATAGTTGGCAAGCTCCGACTTGTTGTTCCTCAAAGTCGAAGGGGGAGAAGATTACAAGGGACATGATTTTCATTTTACAGTTCAGTACAAACAAATTCTCAAAAAAAAAAGAGACTGGAAAAAATATATTGCTCTTGTCTAAGAGTTGCATAAAAATTAAATTACCATATTAGCCTGGATGGTAAATCTTCTAGCATTTTACACTCCAAAAGTCATCTAAGTACATTGCATATAGATTCTAAGAAGTAAAATCCAATCTTCCGAGTTGGCAAGCTATCTATTTCCGAATTAATTTATATGAAAGGTTCTCTCACAGTGTGACTGACATCAGCACTTTAAACAAAAGACAGTGCATCGAATTTATTTTTTTTTCAAGAAAGATTCTTACAGTACGAGGTACTACGACATCAGCACTCCAAACAAAAAGAAACACAGCGCAACAAACAAGCTCACCTGGGAACCCTCCTTCATTGCGGCTCAAGCCCCCACGTGTTCGTCAGATTAACACTTCTCCTGAAAAGAGCTATTAGGATATTATTAAGAATTCAAGATTTTGGCAAAAATTGAGAGAAAAAGCCTCGAATTAGTCTAAAGAGAAACGAGGGTTAACGCGAATTGGAGGAAGAGAGTGCGTGGGTGGGTAGAGTGGGACGAATGCTCACCAGGATGGATGCGGCCGAAGCAGCAGCTGGACGAACGACGGCGCACCTGCTCGCTCGCCGGGATGGATGGGGACGCGCAGGCGGCGGGCGAGCTCACGAGGAGTCGACGACGAGGTGGGAATGGACGGGGAAAAATATCCTCGGCAGCCGGCACCGCACCAGGATTTCTCCTCTTTCTTCTTCTTGGGCACAATTACGCCTGGAAATATGAGTACTAACTTTTTTGTTATTGTTTTTTTTGCTTATTGTATATGTTAATTTAAACTAATATTTTTGAATCAAATAGATATAATTAATGATTTCCTAGTTCCTACAGTTAAAAATTACGTTCTAAGATTTAAAAATTATAGTGGAATTTACATTGTAAGATATGGAATTATAATATTTAAACTTTTTTCTTGAAAAATGGGGCACTATAAAATGCGTAAATATTTATAGCTAATCCTGAAAAATATTGGTTATCCAGCATGTAAAAAGACTGCAATGTAAAATAATTTAGTTAAATTGTTTCTCAACTCAATTCAAAGTGAGACGTTTGTCAATTGAACGAACTTTGAGATAATAAGGTGAAAAGTAGAGGAGGCTAAGTCACCAAGACACCAACCACACACAAGGGAAGATTTGTTCACATCCCTTATAGGATACTAGAGCGGGAGCACGCTTTGCGCACTGCACCAGCTTATCTGGATCAAAATGCGTTTGTTCTTTTTTGGGAAATTAGCTGTGTTTTTTCTTTTTTGGGAAATTGGCTGTGTTTTTTTTGCTGTTTTAGGTGGTGAAAAAGAATGAATTAGTTTGAAGCATTGAATTGTGAGCATTTGTGAAGAAGGGTGTCAAAATGTCGCTTGTTAATGTAACGGCAGGCATTTTACTGGAACTATTTAGATAGTATAAAGGCAAGTCATTCAGCTAGAATGCATGCATATATGTACTATGTTCTATAGCATTGGTAGCAGATGCAGTAGCATCTTGGATCATACAATGCTAAGGAAGGTAGGTAAGGCAATACTTATATACAATGATAATCATGACAAAAAGCCATGAACAAAAGATCTTGGTTCTTTAGTCCTAGGTAATTTCACAACTGCCATCTGTCTTCTAGCTGGGACATAGCTTTGTACATATATATAAGCAAAAGTCTTGAGATGGATTGCACGTCGACAACTCATTCACTGTGTAGATGAAATTAAGAGTTGTGAGATTAGGAAATGCCTTTAAATTGCTAATTAGTTATGTGTAGATAGGTGAGTTTATGTTTGAGGAGTAACCTGTCATTGCCTTTTTGCTGGGCACCATCCTTGAACAATTTCTTAGCAACCGGAGGTGTTGTTGTAGGTGTAGGCATTCCTCTGTTTATTGAAATGATGTGTTAGTTACAATGGAAGAAAGCTTTATTATTGGAATGCACCTAGGAGTGATCAAAGCACCTTTTTTGGCTTGGGTATCTGTAGGGAATGATGGGGTTGCTTGTTTGGCTTCTTCGGCAGTTTGTCCCTTTCCCTTGTAAAAGAAGTGGTGGTTAAGTCTTAATGAATGAGCTGAAAGGAAAGAGATATAGTAGTACCTTATTTTCAGTAGTATCAGGCAGGACAACAATTGAAGATTTATCATGTGAGGTGTTTTCTTCAGCTTTTGTGTCAGTTTTGGGCTTGCAAAATTAGGAAAGAAGTGAGAGTGGATGTAATTCAGTATGAGTGACAACAAGTTTAAGGGTGGCTATAAAGTGGTTACCTTATCATCAGTTTTAGGTTTGGTCCTGCTAGACTGCATGCGAGACACTGAGACAACAATGTTTTTCTTGGTAGGTGTTGAAGAATTTGATTTGCTAGTTGGGGTGCCCTGTGTTCCTTGAGTGATAGTGAACTTGGTTGGTGTTGAGATGGTTTGTCTTGGTTGAATGGGCTGCTGTGATTCATTGCTTGTTTCACTTGGTGTTGGTGCTATTTGGACAGAGCTGCTTGAGCTTACTGAGACAGTAGCTGATGTCACTTGTGAAGCATCTGGGGACATAAGGAGTAGTGGCTGGTTTGAAGCACCAGAGGATATAATGCTATTAACTTGTAGGCACTCTTGACTCATCATGACAGTATCCCGCGTAAAGCTAACATTCCATGCAAAATTGCTGCCAATAAGTGACGTGATTTCACTTGGAATGTATTCACTGTTTGGTGGATTTTCTTCAATGAGAGATTCTATTGGCCTGCGTAGTAGGCGTTGTGCGATCCTTCCGAAAAGGATAAATGTAGCATTAGCATCATCATCGCCGGCAATTAATACTACTTTGTACCTACATGAAAAATGGATATGGCTATAGCAATGTGTGGATGATAATTGCTAAAGATGTAAGAAGACAGAGCGTGTTCTATTATGAACCTTGGATCTGGTATTCCGATGTTAGAACAGCTGGAGCATCTGTAGCTAGAGCCATATGGTTCTGAAGTTTTATAGCATATTCGACATGAATTGTACCATCAAGAATATTCATTGCATATCCTTCTGACAGTCACATTTACTATAAAACATGTTCCCTGCATAAGAGGACAGTGAAAATATCATATTGGTAATTTTATTATCAAAAAGTGGATAGATATAGTTAAGATGTGTTTTAGAGATAGTGTCAACCTTGTGTTTGTGAGGGTAGATATTAAGGATTTCTGCAATACTCTTTTCTTCTGGTACATCTTGGTTGTATCCTGTAGCAGGCTCATCAACCCACTTGATTGGCTGAAAGTTTGTGCTAAAGCTACATAGAAGAATTGCATCTTAGATTAATGGATACTGTGAAAACCTTGAAGAATACAGTGGTGCACATAGATTGTAAGAATAACTGTAAGTAAATTAAATTACCTCTCGTTTAATTCTGCTACTTTAGGAATATTTAGATTAATATACCATTTGCATGGTGAGCTTCCAGTTAGTGTAAGGCCTATATATGTGGAGGAAAATATTAGATATTGTTAGTTACATGCAGTCAATACTACAGTAATTGAAAGTTTAGAAAGAAATGTACCTAATCCTCTGTAATCTTTCATAAGTGTTCCAACAAACACAACAACTTGAGCTTGAGTTTGACTAGCATTGTATATCTCATCAACATCAAAAGAGGTTGCTCTTTCTCCCCAGAGTGTGACAGGAAGAGTCGAATTGCTAGTTTTGTGGATTTGGAGGGGAAAAAGTGATTTAATTGTAATTGGAAGAGATGAAATATGTGAGATAGTTTGTGTGAATGCTAGCGAAAAAGATTAAGTAAATAATAAAAATGTAAATATTTAGCTGTACTAAACTAACCTTGCATCGCGGATCTGTAATGTCCTTTTTAAGCTCTCAGCGTTTCTGGACTTAGGACGTATAGTAGTGACTGCACCAACTTCAGTGATCACACCCATAATGTCTGTTTGCATTGCATAAAAATTTAATAAAATGATATGGCATTGCAAAATATGCATATAACAATAGTTGTAACACAATAAAAGTATGTTATTACTAACGTAGAATGAATTCTTCTCGACAAGGGAAGGAACATCTTCGAATGGTGTCAGTGAAAATGTAATACCAGTGAAATGAGGAGGGACATTAATGTGTTCTTCAAGTGTTGTCCATTTACTGAAGAGGATCATTAGGTTGTTTGCAACTGGCCTGTATGTTCTGTTTGCAGCCTTAACAGTGAATGAGTCAATGTAGTAAACCTTTTCTTCCTTTAAGGAGAGGTTTCATATTTTTTGTTATAGGGGGATAAATTTGGGCATGTATGCTAGTCCCCTGCAGATTATAAATACAAATCATGTTATCAAGAGAATTATTGGTATAGTAAGGCAAATATAGAAAATGGATTTGGCAGGTAAATTATTACCATTTCATCGAGTAAGACAAGATCAGTGTGGAAAATTTTTGTATCATCGTTGAGATCAGCAAAGTTCCATAGCCTGGAGACCCTTGCAAGGATTCTTTTGTTTGAATCTCCAAATGATAACTGTGAAATCAGTACATGCGCCATATGGAATCTGCAATAAGCAGAAAATACTTTTAGTATAGACAAAACAATAATGCTATATATGTACAAGAAAATATTACTAAGAAGAACAATACATATAACTGCAGCGGACAAATCGTATACTATGTATATAGTATATGGTATATGTGAAGGAGGTATATTTATTCCAAAATATATGTACAAAATTGTTTCTTTTTTAGGGTAAAAGAGGTTAAGTATGGAGCGGCAAAGCCTGCAACAGAAAGCTATTTCCATATTACATTATAGATGTTCCTGATATTAAATTAAGCATAGCTGCAATCTTGTAGAAGGGTCTATATGGATTTAAAGTACGCACACATAGGAACAATAAAAAAAACTACGATGATATGAATCCAAGCTTACTATCGTCAATAAAATAACTAAACTATATTGAACAACATGCGTGAGTAATATAGTGATGGTCTGTATGATCAGCATAATTTAAATCGTTGAATACAACCTAAAAGCAACTTAAATGGTAGATCATCCTAATTTTCTGTGCACTACCATTGAGTGAAAACTATAATCATGCACTACAAAATCATATAGTCAGTAGCTACAGGCTCGTGCGTAGTTTCAATGAGATCAGTCGTTGCACCCAAAAAAAAAATACTGGCTGCAACTCAACTGGGACAACAATGGATGGAACAAGTAGTTCTATGGCTGCAAGCAACCTATCATCATAATGAAATTCCCAAAGAAAAGAAGGGGTTGGAAGCATGAGCTGTCGTACATCAATATTCAGTAGGGAAATATGAGAGACATCTATGGCTAACTACAAAGGAAGAAAGATGACCATGGAAAGTTGGAAACAGAAGCTTTGACCACATATCTAACGACGAAATACTGAGGAGAAGGTAAGAATATGTATATATAAGAAGGCGACATACTATCATCGCAAGATAAAGTCGAGAAGAAAGCTATGCACACCCATCGACTTACAGATAGTAAAAGGAATTGTTATAACAATTGGTCGTTATAACAGTTGTGACCATTGTAACTTGTAACGTCTCTCTTTTCCTACTAATACCCAAAATTATAGGGGGAAGGAGGGATCACTTTCACTATATGCACACAGCACAGAACCATCTAATTATATAAAAAAATGACAAAGCTAGGGAGGAATTGCAGTTGCACACACATAAACTTACAGGGGCACAC